CAACTAATTTTTGGTGCACTTAATCCTTTCTCATTTCTACCCAATTATATGTAATTGTTTTCTAAATGACTCAGTGATATAGCCTCACCAACCTTGTCTACTTAGCTGTTCATTCATTATTATTTTTTCTTGCATGAAAAAAGGGTTCCTAACAGCTGTTCTAAAGTTATTGTTTTTCTTGGTTCTTATCTCCCTCAACCTAGCATCCTGGATAGAAAGTAGAATTTTTAGCAGGAGACTTTGAAAGCAAAAACCAATAAACAGTAATTTGGGACAGATAAAGTAAGTTTAGTTGCTGGGCTATGCCAATTCAGACTGCAGTGTGGGTGATTTCAGTTTGCTCATTTATATCAAAGAAGGCTATGCCCATTCAAAACTAGCATCTCAGAATAGCACCTGTGTTAAACACTTCACCCTGAGGGACTTCCTCTGGTTTTGAAGCTTTCATGTTAGCAGTATTTCCTAAATATAATAAAATATTATCTTATTTGTGAGGTTTGGATTTTCTGTTTACCCTGGAAAAAGATTCTGAGATAAATGCATTTACTATACATTTAATTTCAGTTGCTTCAAAATGTAACCCTACTTTGGAGAAAGCACTTGGTCTCAGTAACACCCGACTTTGTTAAAGGATAAACATCCATGCTAATAGAAGCATTTGTTTTCATTGCCTTTTACCCTTAGAGAGAGAAGATAATTTGAATGAAATAGGCAGATAAAGAGGTAATCTGGATTTTATTTTATTTTTGTAAGGAAAAGCTTAGCATTTTTATTGGTCTTATATGCACATTCTGAATCCTAATATTAGACTTCACCTCCTGTAAGTTTGTCCACAAAGCTCATCAAGGGAGATTCAAATGGCTTAATTCATATGCCATTAAATTTAATGGTTGAGGAAAAGAGAAATTACTGACTTTTCATAACAGATTTGACCCCAAGGCATTTTAACATTTATATTTACTGTTGTCCACCTTTAGATAGACAAGTATAGAGGCAGGTGACACAATTTGGAATGTGTTTGCAAGTCTCTCTCCCCCCCCCCAAACTGTTAAATTGCTTACTTCATTTAATTGGCTTCCTTCTTAATTTATATACTACACTACATTGTGGTCTGTTTTTCGAGCACAGACTTTTCTGTTCCTGTAGTATGTCAGATTCACTATAGACAAATCAGTCACTACAGCAGCAAAGACACTAAATATTTCTGAGTTGTCCTAGATGAGACAACCAAAAACCTCTTTGACAGATGAGCAGACCTGGCATTGGCTAACTTCTCTTACAACTTTTTTTTTTTAATGACATTCTAATTCAGGGTGAGTTTTAATGTATAAGAGTAGCTTATATCAGTTTATGGAGATTTCCAAAGACATGAAGCATTTGTGGAAGTTTATTTTTAAAAACCTAAAAAGGCACAGTTGTTATTACTAGGTGCAAAATAAAAAATAAAAATCCTACCAATGAGTTTTGATCCACCCAACGGGCACAACATAAGAGCAAATTTAATTGTTAAAGTGGTGACCAACTGCTGGTGTTTGGAAGGACTCAGAACCTTCATACTGACCAAGTTCCCCATGTGCTTCACTGCACAGATAGAACTCCTGTAGGAAGTAGAGTTTTCACTTGACTGAAGTTGAGAAGGCATATCTGTGAGTGCATTCCTTGGTGTGTTACAAGCTACTCTTTAAGGTGTGTATTTATGACACCTATATAGAACATAAAGAGAAGGTTCTAGGTTCTTCCATTGATAAATAATTTAAAGGTTTACTCCAAATAAAAGTGGTGTTATGAACCACACTGGTCAACAACAAATTTGTTGTCTGCATTTTTTTCAGTTGATTTAGGAAGAATCTGATGTGCTGAATCCAAAAATCACATTGGTTTTGCTCAATCAGGTCAAGTTTTTGAGCTATGGCCACAAGTCTTTTTTTACGTTTTTGTTCACATGTACGCTTGTGTGGAGCATTTTAGAAGAAGTTGGTGGGGTTAAAATGCCATGTCGAATAATTGTTTTGATTGGAAATTATTATTTTAATGACAAGAAGTATTCAGGTCCGATAGTTCTGGGTGATTATGTCGAAAAGGGATCAGTTTGAAGTCATAAAACCTCGAAATCTTCCATAAATTGGTGCGGCTGGGATCAACAGAAAGAACCGGAGCAGCCTCAAGTATCCTGATCTTCAATCAGCACGTCGTCCTGTAGCTCATTGTGATGAAATTCCAGTACCTATCTTCGGAGAACTTCCTGACATTAGTGACGAAGATGCCTCCAGTGTTGAAGGACATGAAGAAGAAGAAGTGGTTCTTGAAGATGATGCTCCACATCCATTTTCCCAAAAGGAGTTGAATGATCTAGTTCGCGACCTCAGCTTGTCAAAGGACTCTGCCAAACTGTTGACATCCAGATTGAACGGCAAAAACCTCCTCTCTGACAGTGCTCGCATCAGCTTCTTCCGCAACAGGCATCAAGAGTACCTCCGTTTTTTCTTGGAAGAGAAGGACTTGGTGTACTGTGCAGATATTGCGCAGCTTCTGCTCAAGCTTGGAGTGCCACAGTACGAACCCAAAAATTGGAGACTGTTCATTGACAGCAGCAAGCGATCACTGAAAGGTGTTCTGCTACACAACGGCAACCAGTTTGCCTCTATACCCCTGGCTCACTCGACTACACTGAAGGAGAACTATGAAGCGGTGAAGTATGTGCTGGAGAAAATTGGTTATGATCAGCATAAGTGGTTTATTTGTGTTGACCTGAAGGTGGTGAACTTTTTGTTGGGACAACAGTCTGGCTTCACCAAGTACCCATGTTTTCTGTGCATGTGGGATAGTAAGGACCGTGCTCAGCATTACATGAAGAAGGACTGGCCTGTGTGGGAGGAATTGGTGCCTTGCAAGAAAAGGAATGTCATCAACGACCCTCTGGTGGACAGAGACAGAATACTCTTCCCACCGCTGCACATCAAGCTCGGCTTAATCAAGCAGTTCACCAAGGCTCTGGACAAGGATGGTGACTGCTTCACTTACTTGTGCCAGGCTTTTCCAGGATTGACCATGGAGAAGTTGAAAGCTGGCATCTTTGACAGTCCTCAGATCTGTCAGCTCATCAGAGATCCAGAGTTCAGAAACTCAATGAAGGAAGTGGAACTGGAAGCGTGGAAGGCATTTGTTCTGGTAGTGAAGAACTTTCTTGGCAACAATAAGGCCAGAAACTATGCAGAACTTGTCAACAACATGCTGACTGCTTTCAGAAACCTGGGCTGAAACATGAGCATCAAGATGCACTACCTATTTTCACATATGGACCAGTTTCCTGAGAACCTGGGTTCAATGAGTGACGAGCAGGGGGAGAGATTCCATCAGGACATGAAAGAGATGGAGACCAGGTATCAGGGTCGCTGGGATGCAGTCATGATGGCTGACTACTGTTGGACTCTGAAGAGAGACCTCCCTGCCGCTGAGCATTCCAGAAGTTCCAAGAAATGGAAGTTCAAGCCCTGAAGTTTGAAAAATGGTGAAGCAACATGCAATTTACGTGTACTTACCTTTATCAATGCCCACCATTCAGTTTACAGTAAACCTGATCTGATGGAGAGAAACGGATGCCATTTCCTGATTCAGCAGTGCAAAAATACCCTAAATCAGTTGTAGAAATCTAGACAACATTCAAAAAGTAAAAAATTGTTGCCCAGTGCCATCATTGCCAAAACAAGATGACACCTGATTGGCTCTCTAAACACTCATTTTTCTGGTTATTTGGCTATAGCTTTTGATAGAATACACATAATTGAACAAACTTTGTTGCATTATATTCTTCATTAGATTATCTTTCCATTGATGTATAATTTTATGGTATTACTCCAAAACAAAGTGGTGTTATGAGCCATCAAACCTCAGAAATACACTTTCTCCAAAAGGTTTCCACAATTTTGGCCACTAGTGTAACATATTATGTGCATAAGTAGGCTTAAACCTTAGCTTATATGTTCACTTTTCCTCTTCCCTTCTTTCCTGTTGTGCTACAATTTCTTATTTGGCAAATCAAACAAGGCAAGCTATGGCATCAACATTGTTGTACCACTGTGGATGAAACAGAAAACTATGGTTTGTTAAGATCCCATAAGTAAGTTAAAAAATTGCAGTGCAAGAGTGGAAACCAGCCACTTGGTGTGATCCAGACCATAAGAGCCTTTATGTGTATTTTAAAAGGTTTAATTCCAGGACCTAAGAGCAACCCCCCCCCAAAAAAAAAAACCCACACATGTGCCTGGTCAGAATTGCCTGCTAGATCCCCAAAGATGGTTTTGTATATATTAAACTTATTAGTTGTCTTTTCATTTCAAATTATTGTTTGTGATGTGCACTAGTTAGACACATTCCGAAAGAAAACTGGTTGGTAGTGGTTACAACTCATTTGAAAAGACTAGCAATGTTTTTGTTGGTTTAAAACTTCATCAAATGTAAGTTTCCAAAGAAAGAAATTTGCATTAGGAAGATATTTCCATGTTTCTGCTATATTGAAACCACAGTCAGGATACAGAAATTGTACATTTTCTTAGGCATGTATGGACTGCTACATGTTCTTTTGTTTCCTTTGGAGGTATGCCATAGTAGATTAATACCAAGTGTCTGTTGGTTGAGTGGGCACAATGTATTTCTGAACTTCACTTTGAAGTTTATCTGTACTTGATGGGGGACTTGTTCACTTGCTCAAGGTGTCATCCATTAATAATTTTGTAACATAGGCATTTATTTTCCATTACTTTGAATTTCTGTTCTGGATAGGCTTGTATGTCAAAAATGTTTCAGACCGAAAGGCACAAAGACTTGAAGGGGGTTTTTTTTATTGTTAGTTAGAAAACTGTTATTCACCTGGCACCTTCAAAGGCGACATGATCTTTCTCCAGGCAACTAAAATACAACTCAGGTCTATACACAAACAAGGTTTTCTCAATTTGCTGTGCATAAGTAATGGAAAAACACTGTGTTTCACTTTCCTAATGCAGGAGGCACTGAAGGAAAATAACAAGAGAAGAGAGATGGAGGAGAAAATTAAGAGAGCCAAGCTAGCAAAAGAGAAAGCAGAACGTGAGAAACTGGAGCGGCAACAGAAGAAGAAGCAACTGATTGACATGAATAAAGGTAAGTAAGCATTTGTAATAGATCTGATCTGGTTAAGACCACTCTCAGTTGTAAAAAAGACTTAATTGCTGCATTAAAGGTGCAGAAAGAGAGATAGCATGTCCAGGCATCTTCTCCATGTCTAGTTTTTTTGTTTCTTCTTCCACTGCCATTTCTTGCAGTCTTTTCCAAAGCATTTTGTATTGAGTTATTGACTTGTTTTCCTTTGGTGCAGTTAAATGTGTGTGTTTTTAAATGGATTTGTTCTAAAAATCACTGCAGTGTTTTAATTTTTTATTCTACAAACATCTTTATAATAGTGGGTGTGCAGCAGTTAACATCTCTCTTCTGTGGTTTGAAGGTTTCCCATTATAAATGGATGTGCTCTCAGCAGTGCTCTTTCAAGAGCTGGTTCAGCTGCAAGCCTCACTACAGATTGACAATTGGATATGATAAAGAAAACCTTACGTTAAGATTTCTGGTTAGTTGAAATGACACTATAATGTGTACATCAGCATTCTGTGAGAATGGGCGCAGGAAGGAAAGGAGAGGAAGAATCAATAGGCCCCTAATATCTGTGCTTTGCAGAGTTCCAAAAGACAGTTGAAATGCATGCTTTATTTTCCATCCCTTTGGGTTCCTGAAATGGAGAAGAGAGATGACACAAATATGAATTAGATTGAACGAGAGATTACTTCACCCTGCAGTTTGCTGTTCTCCCTTCTGTGATCATTTCAGTTCTGTTGTGAGGCAGAGCTTAATCCATCCCAATCATAAAACACATAAAAATGCTCAGTGTGTGACTGTGACTTGTCTTTTCTACCCAGTGAGCAAATCTGACAGGATTCAGTTCTAGCAAAAATAACAACATTTCTCTCTTGACAAATCTTATGTAAGATGCCAAGGTGTATTAGTTGAATGGTAGAACAAGCCTTATAATTAGGGTGAATTGAGGCAACAGGACTTCTCAGAATTTGAACCAATTAGATGACTTTTGGAATAAAAACATTGCACATTAAAGTATCCTTTTTCTATTTTAGAGAAAGGCAGCACCTAGATTCATAGTCTAATATTGCACAAATGAGCTAGTGGTTTGCTGTTTGACTCAAGGCTCTAAAAAAGAGAAAAGAATACATGCTGCTGCACCCAAGCTTTTCTCTAGTGCTGTAGCTATTGTTTGTATGATGCCTATCACAAAGCATAGCCCCTTGCTTGTTTTTTACCCTTCCCAATTTATATTACCTGTTGAGGAGGAAGAGATAGGTTGGGCTATGGGCTCTCACACCTCCTCCTCCTCCTGCCCCCACCCTTCCTTCTCCACTGTCTCCCAGAACCAGAAGAGATTGAAGCGGGAGGAGCAAAAGGTTACACCCAGGCGTAGCTCAGAAAGGGGAGATACATAAGTAGAGGTCGAGTGTGGGGGCTCTTTGTTGCAACAACTGCCTCATTTGGTGCACACCTAGGAGTACCTGAGAGATGTAGGACTGATTGACATAGCTTTCCCTAACTTGTCAGTGTCACTCTGGACATTCCGTGCCTGACAGCATCATGACACTATATTCGGACCATTTCCATGTTTAAATTTTGCTATTTATTTTACTTCCACTTTGAATTTCTCCCCACTTTTAATATTTTGTTGATTTTGTTAAAAACTACAAACATAACAGAAGTAAAGAAAACAAGTAATAAAAAAAATAACCTTAAAGCATTACTGGCTGGATTACAAAATGAATAATGAAGTATTGACTCACACAAAGATTCCCTTTTACAAATGAGATATGTAAAAATAAAAGTATTCTTCACCTGTGAATTACATCTTTATTGAGGACAATGTTTATATAAAGTCTTAGATGACATTGAGTGGCTATATTCGTATAAGAAATAAATCATGTCATATAGCAAAAACAATTTTAAAAACCCAGTATTCCGAGATCCACTCTTTAGAAACCTTTAGTTCATGAGATATATTTTCAAGGCAGACAAGTTGCCAGACTAGATTATCAGCAATCCAAATTATTAAGATAGAAGAGCTTCCAGGATTTGGCAGTGGAGCTCTGGGCTGCTGTTGTGACTTACATTCCAAGTCCTGTTCTGTTTCCATGTATAGTTTCAAAAGCACAAGTGGAAAGATGCATCAAAAGTTTAGTTAGTTATTAAAGAGATTTCAGAAAACATCCTACCACATGTGCTTATAGGTGCCAACTGTGTGGCAGCCCCTCTGATGTTATACCTAGGTGCACAAACAGAAGCTGTTGCAGAGTAAAGTGCCAGCCATGTACTAACATTAAAGAAAGTTTGAGCCGACAAAGACCTGTATGGAGGTTTTTCCATAGAGTATTCCACTGCTTATCATCTATCTCTATGTCCCAATTAGATATCCACCATGACTTTTTGACACTGGACCCTAAAGGAGGCATTAATAAAAAATTTGCGTAATGTAAAGCTGAGTTGCTTTACATAATGTGCTATGTTCAAAAGGGGTTAATTGCCCGTTAGCATCTTTTTGTCAAAGGACATATAAGAAACGATCTCATCTGGCAGTCCAATGGCCAGGGAAAGGATTGAATAATGGCAGGAATTTGAAATGCACACGAAAGCTCATACCAAAAACTAACTTAGTTGGTCTTTAAGGTGCTACTGGAAGGAATTTTTTTTGTTTTAGGAATTTGAAACACTTTTAACAGCCTTCCTGTTAACAAGTGCACATTTGATCTGAATATCTGCTATAGTGAACTATATGTGTAACTCAGCATACATAACAATTGTGTGTGTGTGTGTGTGTGTGTGTGTGTGTGTGTGTGCGTGTATGGAGTGGGGGGGACAATAAATACATAGCCTTTTAAGAAGAGCAAATTCGATGGCAGTAATTTTGATGCAAATGTTATTTAATGTCTCCATTATATCTGATTACCATGACAATTAAAATTACTTTTTAACTAGCAGTGCAAGGATAAATGGAAGAATGAGCTGCTTCAGTCACAATTAGTATTGATTTAATTGTTTTGAAAGGTATATTAACATTCCCTTAGCACAGATGAAGACAGCGGAATGGAGTTCATTACAGGGGGCTGACAACTATCTGGGATGTCAAGGTACTTTACTTTAGAAAAAACATTTGAATCCCAAAAGCTGAATCACAAGTCACTTAATAAGCTCATATATATATTAATATTAACAATGACATTATTGTTAATAGCTTCCCTGTACTCAAGGTTGGCCCACCCATGAGGCAACAGGATTCACAGGGACAGCAGATCCAGCCTCCCAGGAATGAATTGCCTGCTGCCACTGCCACAGTGGCATCAACAACATTCCTTGGAGGCTGAATCCATGCCTCCTTGGCAACCCCCCTCTCATGACATCTTTACAGTGGCTTCTTGGTGAATAGGAGGTGCTGATGCTCTTTTCCCACCCTTGTTCCCAATGTAAATCTTTACCCAACCCCATTCATGATCTCAATCTTCACTCACTCATTGTTCTCTGGCAGGGAGTGGGGGGGGGGCGTCATTTTGTGGTTTGCCACGGGTGCCAAAATGTACTGAGCTGGCCCTGATAGCCCTTTACACAATGAATGCAACATGTTCATGCCTTTTTAACAGTCCAGTGCAAAGAAACCCTAGTTATAGCGAAATTTGTCAGTATTGCCTTCCGCTTACAGATGCATACAGCTGATACACCCCATTACCACAGCATTAGAAGATAGAAGAGACAATGTTCACAGCATAAACTTTAGCTTTACCATGCACCTAAGCCGTTTGTAAATAATTATCTGATTCTAAGATGCCTAGACATCACTTGTTTCCTCTATACTTCTCTCCTTTACACCTGATTATTAGTAGCAGAAGGCACCAAATGGACTCCATAGGCGGAGTATAGTGTTGGTGTCACAGAAACACAATTTGGTATTATTAGCATTATTAATAAAATTTGTATACCATCCTTTATCTGAAGATCACAGCCAAACATAAAAATACAAAATGAAAATACAAACTACACGATAAAACAAAAGCAAAACAAATGAATAATGCCCACCTCCATTTAAAAGGTCATGGAATGTTCAGTCAGCCAAAGGCTTGGTTAAAGAGAAATGTTTTCTTCTGGCGCCTTCCTTACATATCTTTAGCCTCCCTGGGGAGAGCATTTCACAAATGTGTTCTTCAACTGATAAGTGGCTCGTTGGACTGTGTCTTTCAGGAAGAACAACTGAGAGAGAACAGTATAGCAGGCATAGAAACATTATGGACACAACATTTCCTTGTGCCCTCTAACCTTGCCTTCACTTGAGCAGTTGCTCTGTAGGCACTCCTTGCCGTAGTTTCTCTCTTCTTGTGGCACATGTTAGTCTGGATTGCACAGGTTGGTGTGTGAGTATCTGATGGTTCCATTTCGGTGTATGGAATTAGCCTTAAATGTTTTTTAGGTTTTGTGCAATTTTGTGATCTTATACAGGATCATGTACAACTTGTAAAGCCCTCTCTCTCTCTCTCTCTCTCTCTCTCTCTCTCTCTCACACACACACACACACACGTATAAAGTGAATATTTTTACACATGAAAATAGTCTGGAAATAATCTAGGTTAGGAGTAGGGAAATGCATTGTAGCAAGTACCTTTGAAGGAAGGTAAGGAAGCAGTAGATTGCATCTTTATTGAACCATAGGTGTTACATCCACACACTTTATAGTACAGATGCTCCACTGCAAGTTAAGTCCCTTTGCTTATTTCTGTCTGCTTAGCTTTCATTCAGAGTGCTCCTGAGAGAGCTTCTCATCAGCTCCTGAAGGCATCCTGGGACACCTGTTTCATGTTCACCTCCCTTTCTTCCCATGCAACTTGACAGTAAAGTGCCAGATACTCTCTCTGCACAGAAATACTTTCATAAGTCCACAAGATGCCACAAAGAGCTTTCACTAAATGGGGGAAACATATCTGTTGGCTGTATCTTTCTTCACTTTTTGAAACTTATTTGTTAGATGAGTTGAGCTATACTTAATAATAATAATAATAATAATAATTTATTAT